GATCTTTTTGCTGTCCCTAAAATACTCTGGTTTCCTCTCACCTCAGAACTTGCTATTCCCTCTACCTAGAAAGCTCTTCCCCAAATATTCGTGTTTCTTAGTTCAAATGTCACTATTTCAGTGAAGCCTTCAGCAATCCTAGGTGTGATATTAATTGTCTATGTCAATTTGATTAGGCCATAGGGTGCCCAGATATTTGGTCAAATATTTTCTGGGTGTGTCTGGGAGGGTGCTTTGGATGAGATTAAAATTTGAATTGGTTGAGTAGAACGGATTGGTCTGCCTAATGTGAGTGGCTTTCATCCAACCAGTTGAAGACCTGCATAGACCAAAAAGGTTGACTCTCCCTTAAGAAATAATTTCCTTCTACTTGACTTCCTTGAGCTGAGACATCAGTCTTTTTCTACTTTCAGACTCCAGCAGAAACATCTGCTCTTCCAGGGTCTTAAGCCTGCCAGCTTTTGGACTCCAACTTATACCATCGGCTCTCCTAGTTCTCAGGACTTCAGACTCAGATTGGAGCTACACCGTCTGCCTCCAGCTTGCCGGCTTTGTGAGACTTCTCGGCCTCTTTAATTGTATGAGCCAATGCCTTATAATAAATCTTTCTCTCTCTATCTATACATGCACTATTACTCTGTTTCTCTGGAGAACCCTAATACACTAGGTAAAACTGTGTCCCTCTACCCACCTCATGCAATTCTTTCTTATCTGTTTCTTGACTGTTTGTGCCTGTCTCTTCTCAACCAGAATGGAGGCTCCTTTTTCAATACTATATCTCTGGATGCATGTATGGCACATAGAGGGTCCTCAGTAAATACTGGTTGACTGACTCTTTTCCCTCATTAGCCATGTGACCTTGCACAATTCATTTGACCTCTGGGCCAATTTCTTCACCATTACAACAGGGATGGCATCTTGTTTACGTAACACCAGGGCTGTCTGAGAGGACCCCCAGGCACACAGCTGTGAAAGTGTTCCTTGCTCTCTTCGGTCCGTACGTCCAAGATGACAAAGAGAAGAAGGAACAACGGTCGTGCCAAAAAGGGCCGCGGCCACGTGCAGCCTGTTCGCTGCACTAACTGTGCCCGATGCGTGCCCAAGGACAAGGCCATTAAGAAATTCGTCATTCGAAACATAGTGGAGGCCGCAGCGGTCAGGGACATTTCTGAGGCGAGCGTCTTCGATGCCTACGTGCTTCCCAAGCTGTGTGTGAAGCTGCATTACTGTGTGAGTGTGCAATTCACAGCAAAGTAGTCAGGAATCGATTTTGTGAAGCCCACAAGGACCGAACACCCCCTCCCCGATTTAGACCTGTGGGTGCTGCCCCACGTCCCCCACCAAAGCTCATGTAAGGAGCTGAGTCCTTAAAGGCTGAGACAGACTATTCTCTGGAGAAAAATAAAATGGAAATTGTACTTAAAAAAAAAAAAAAAAGTGTTCCTGACAAACGTAAGTGTTCTCCGTACTAGGGGTTGTGTCTCATTCATCTTTGCACCTCCATCCCCTCTTTCCCTCCCCTCCACCCTTCCCCCCACCCTCTACAGATGCTCAATAGATGTTTATTTTCAACAATGAGTTAAATCATTTTATGGCTACCTCAATTTTAGTCAATTACATCAGTTATGATGACACAAGAAATATCTACTCATCGCTGAATACCTTAATGCCTAAGAAACTTTGGTCAGAAAAGAATGAAAGGTAAAGTTGGGGGATCCATAGCAAGAATTTGGTCATATCTAGTCTAACAAGAGTAATAGGAACCTTAAAAAAGCTTTACAGTATACAATGAAATGGGCTCTCTCATTTGCTAATAAGCATGCAAATTGGTGCAACCACTTTGGAAAGTGATTTGACTATATCAAAATTTTCATACCATTTAAGTCAGCAAAGTCTCCCTGTCCTAGATGTTTCCATGTGATGCAGACTTTGCTCTAAATATAAAATCAAAAATTATCAATCTTTTAGAAGCAAGCAAAGGTGTAGATCTTCATGACCATGGTCTAGATAATAGATTTGTAGATAGGGCACCAAAAGCTCAAGCAACTAAAGAAAAAAGTAGATAAATCAGACCTCATCAAAATGTAAAACTTTTGTGCATCAAAAGACACCATAAAGAAAGTAAGAAGACAACCCACAGAATGGGAGAAAATGTTTGCATTTTCTCCATATTTCTGATAAGGGATTTTTATCCAGAATGTAGAAAGAATTCTTGTAACTTGACAATAAAAAGAAAAATAACATAATTTTAAGCTGTGCACACAATTTGAATAAACATTTCTCCAAAGAAGATAAATACACAAACATCCAAGAAGCACATGAGAAGATGCTAAACATACTAGTCACCAGGAAAATGAAAATAAAAGCTACAATGAGATACCACTTCACACCCACTATGATGGATATTTAAAAAATTAAAACGGAAAACAGCAAGTGTTGTGAAAATACTGGAAAGCTCGCACAGTGCTGGTGGAAATGCAAAATGGTGCAGCCGCTTTGGAAAACAGCTGGGCAGTTCCTCAGAAGGCTAAACACAGAGTCACCACACGGCTGGTAATTCCACTCTTAGGTTTATACTCAAGATTGGTGAAAACATGTCCACACAAAACTTGTACATTGGCCAGGTGCAGTGGCTCATGCCTATAACCCCAGCACTTCGGGAGGCTGAGGCAGGCAGATCACTTGAGGTCAGGAGTTTGAGACCAGCCTGACCAGCATGGTGAAACTCCATCTCTACTAAAAATACAAAAATTAGCCAGGTATGGTGGCGGGCGCCTATAATCCCAGTTACTTGGGAGGCTGAGGCAGGAGAATTGCGTGAATCAGGGAGGTGGAGGTTGCAGTGAGCCAAGATCATGCTGTTGTACTTTAGCCTAGGTGACAGAGTAAGAACTTGTCTCAAAAAAAAACAACAAAAGCCTCATATGTAAATATTCAGAGCAGCAATGTTCGTAATAGCCAAAAGGTGAAAGAGAAGCTTTAAATGTCCGCTCATTGGTGAATGGGTAAACAAAAGTGGTACATCTACGTGATGGAATATTATTTGGCCATAAAAAGGAATCAAGTACTGACACCTGTGATAACATGAGTGAACCTTGGAAATACTGTGATCAGTGAAAGAGGCCAGACACAAAGGGTCACCTATTTTGTGGTTCCATTTACATGAAATGTTCAGAATAGACAAATCCATAGAAATAGAAAATAGATTAGTTGTTGTCAGGGGCTGGAGAGAGGGAGGAATGGGTACGGGATTTCTTTCTAGGGTGATAAAAATATTCTGGAATGAGATGGTGATGATAGTTGTACAACTGCGAATATGCTAAAATCTACAGCATCGTACTCCATAAAAAGTAAATGTTATGATACCTGAATTACATCTCAAAACGCAGTTATTTAAGAAGTGCTCATTGTAGCATTATTTATACTAGTAAAAAGTAAAATAGTCAAAATATCCTTTCATTAAAAAGAAAATTAACTAATAATCCATGTATTTGATAGAATTACACAGCCATTCAACTGTGTCTATAAAATGTCATCATACCACGTAGAATGATTATAAAATAATATTAAGTAAGACATAGTCATGACTACTTTTTAAAGCATAGCTCTCTGGGTGTTTTTGTTGAAGTCTGGAAGAAAACATACCAAACTTTTAACAAATGTTGGCTATAGGTAGTGAGACATGAATAATACCTTCTTTTTGTTACTTTTCTATATTTTCTAAACTTTCTTCCAACATGTATTACTTTTATTACTTTTTTTTTTTTTTTTCTTTGAGACGGAGTATTGCTCTGTCACCCAGGCTGGAGTGCAGTGGCATGATCTCAGCTCACTGCAACCTCCACCTCCCAGGTTCAAGCGATTCTCCTGCCTCAGCCTTCTAAGAGGTGGGATGACAGGGGTCCGTCACTACGCCTGGCTAATTTTCTTTTGTATTTTTGTAGAGACAGGGTTTCGCCATGTTGGCTAGGCTGTTCTCGAACTCCTGACCTCAGGTGATTCACCTGCCTCAGCCTCCCAAAGGGTATTATTTTTATTTTATTTTGTTATTTAAAATAATCTTTTTAAGTTGTTTACCTGCTATGGATAAAGTGTCAGATTTTCAGCATCTAGTGTTATGAAGATGAGTTCACCTCCCTCAGTTTGGAGCCCACTGCTGTCTGGCACAGCCACCTGGAGGGCAGCCTCCCAAGAGAAATCAGGCCCAAGGCCCCAGGGGGTGACAAAGCTGCAACACAGATAAGTCCTGAAGAGACTGGCCCCACCCGAAGCAGCACCTTACAGGTAGGGAGACTCTGCTTTTCCTGTTTTAAATTGCAGTCGGTTTTTAAAATCCCCATTGTCATTTCAAAGGTGGCATGAGGCAGCTGGGTCCCCAGGCCTGTGTCTTTCCTTTGTCTGCCCCACAGACTCCTTATTTCCCTTCTGCCTCCAGTGGCCACCCTTCGGGCAGGGACACAGCGATGTTGTTACAGGTGTTGGCTCACTCTGGCCTCGTTTGCTCTGGAAAGGATTCTGGTCGGATCAAATAGCCCTGTGGAAACTCAAGCTGAATTGTCTTCATTTTCTATCATTTTATTTTAACATCCCAGCAGTCCCAGCCTGTCAGGGTCTCTGCCGGCAGTCAGCCATTCATCAATTTAAAACATAGCCATGAAGTTCTGGAAAGGGTCCAACTCCACAGAAGAAATCAATTCTTTTCTTCTCATTTTTCTTTGAAGGCAGGAAAGAATCTGCTCATGCGGACACAAGGCATGATGACTTTCGCGTCAGTCGGGAGCCTGCTTTTAGAGAGTAATACTCAACATTTCATCCACAGGCCAAAACATTGCCCTATGGAAGGCACCAGTGCTACTACAAAACCAGTATTACAAGTGATCTTTTTGATTTCACAATTATTGTAGGCCAGGTGTGGTGGCTCATACCTGCAATCCCAGTAATCCCTCGGAGGCCGTGGTGGGAGGACCACTTGAGCCCCAGAGTCCGAGACCAGCCTGGGAAACGTAGCAAGACCCCATCTTATTTAAAAAGAAAAAGAAAAAAAACCATCATTGTACGTGCTTATTTATTACATTTCTCATTTAATAATAACACTTAGTACTTGACAGAAGGACTTTTCTTATATTAATTCATATGATGCTCTCAATAACCCATTATATTACAGCCCATCTTACAGATGAGAAAATCGAGGCACTGAGAGAAAGTCGTAAATGTAATCTTGCAAATGGAAGGTTCTTAAAAATTAGCCAGATTTAAGGATTATATGAACATTAAAACTATATTAAATACTTTTTCAGGAAGACCTAGCTTCAGTCTCTGGAGTGGAGGGATTTTGTTCTAATTTGGTCTCATCTGCTCATGGCGATTCACTGGAGAGCTTCGTGGGTTAGCAGAAAAGGGAAAAGAACGCAGAATGACATGCTCACCCTTCTCTTACCAGCCTGTATCCAGTCATAGCAGGAAGACAGGCGATAGAGCAGGGAGTACCCCACTGAAGTCCAGTGGAGGTGCCAGGACCACCTGTGAAAAAGCCATTGTTTTATAGAATGCCAGAGACATCTATCAAACACAGAGAGGGAAAATACTGAGTCACACTACACATCCCCCATTGTAGACCGTGTGAAAGGCACCCTGGAGTACCGTTCCCCAGCAGACTGAAATGTGAATGGTGACCCACGGAGGTGTGCAATGTGAATTTCTGTCCCTTGGTGATCTCAGGGAAGTCCTTCGAGATCCTGCAGAGGTACCTAGAAACAACGGCCTGGTACACAACCCCAAACATTTCTGTCCCCAGCTTTTGCTTACGGCCTGTCTTCATGGTGATCAATGTCTCCTCTGCAAGGGAAGTGGAAGACTGGTCACCAGAAGCTTCCATTCTGCTGTGTGGGGTCTCCTAGAGAAATTTAGGAGCAGAATCCTCCCTTAGAACAAAATCATCTGCATCTGCTATTTCCCATTTCCAGATGTTTTTTACATTGATAAGCATCTCCCAAATGTTTCTCTTTGCATTGCTGTTCTTTTTAAAAAAGTAAACATAAAAAGCTAAGGCACTGTTTCTCACATTCCTCAGTCTTCTCTAAGCCAACCCTGCACAATGCTTTCTCACCCTACCTTTTCTGCATCTGAATGGGCCAAGAAGACTTTTAGGGGTTTTACTTTCCATGTTTTTGTGATTAAATTAATAAATGTACTTTTTCATACTCTATTTGCCCCTTAACCTCCGCTTCCTCGCCGTGAAGCAGGAATTGCTGTGCTAGGCCATTATTGCCATGATGTGGTCTTCAAAAACCTGGAGACTTTCCCTTAGGACATTCCGTGCTTAGTCCTATTATACCTCTGTCTGGAATATGCCACAGTTCAGAGTTATCTGAACCACAACGAAAAGTGGCCTCTTATGTCTGGGCACGGTGGCTCACGCCTATAATCCCAACACTTTGGGAGGCCGAGGCAGGTGCATCACCTGAGGTCAGGAGTTCGAGACCAGCCTGGCCAACATGGTGAAACCCCGTCTTTATTAAAAATACAATAATTAGCTAGGTGTGGTGGTGGGTGCCTGTAATCCCAGTTACTTGGGAGGCTGAGGCAGGAGAATCGCTTGAACCCTGGAGTTGGAGGTTGCAGTGAGCTGAGATTACACCATTGCACTCCAGCCTGGGCGACAAGAGCAAAATTCAGTCTCAAAAGAAAAAAAAAAAGAAAAAGAAAGAAAAAGAAAATAGCCTCATATACTACGCAGTCGAGCTCCGTCTTGTTTTACAAACACTATATCATTTTTGCAAGTGTTTCAGATGCGTCCCAAAGTGCCAGGAGGGCCCCCTACTGCCAGAGCCGACTCCGTGAGCACATCGCCTGTGTTCACACAAGGCCCGCATTTAGAACGGCTCCATATTTGGATTAATGCCATGTTGATGTTATCTTGAAGTTCTTGATCATTTTTTAACAAGGGGCCCCACATTTCCATTTTGTCCTAGGCCCTGGTCCTGCTCACAGCTTCTGTTGCCACTCTCTACGCCCAGCCCCACACTCCTCCTGCTCCATGATTTGGGAGCAGAGAGGTTTGGTCCCAAAAGAACTTTGAGGTTCAGTTCGTGAAGCCTTTACATAATTTATTACTAGTTCCCTTTTCCAGAATCTTAGATAAGTGACATCCCTGCAAGGTACAAAGATCATTACCCCAGTTCCCCAGGGCTAGGTAGGAACAGCTCCAACACTAAAACCTGTGGGAGGGGAACTGGTTTTTTTTTTGGGTTTTTTTGGTTTTTTTTTTTTTTTTTGGTTTTTTTTTTCAAGAGTGTGAGTGGTGGAGGAGGGGAGTAGATATTTTGTAAAGTGGTAAAACTAAACAGTATCTTACAGATTGCCTTTATAGGACCATATTACTGTGGTCCTCTGGCACTGAAAAAAAGGTAAGCAGCTGTCATTTCCAGAAGGCCAAACGGCTCTAGGTAGATGGGCCATTTTGCCTGAATCTAGCTTTGAAAGTACTGCCTAATGAGAAGGCATAATTCTTATGTCTACAGAGGACCTTGAGACAAGAAGTCTGGAGGTGAGTGGCTGCCCTGGCAGGCAAACACCCGCCAAGATAAAAGAGGAATTTGTAGTTGATGCACTATTTTGAGACCATAAGAGGTCAATCAGGGTGAGAATGCAGCATTTCAAAGTGTGTTGATGATAGAAGCCGAAGAGCCTCTAAGTCAAGGACTCTCCAAGATAGGACTGTTCTCTCTGGCAAGCACAGTGGTGACATTTTAGACAAATGATCTCGTCTTTCCGGGCTTGGTTCCTCATTTCTAAATGGTAATAATATTAGTACCAACCACATGGGGCTGTTGAGAAGAATAAATTAGCTTTTACATTAAAAGCAATTAAAACAGTGGCTGACATATTGTATACACTCCAGAAGTCATGGTTATGATTCTTATTACTATGAAGTGATGACTTCCTCACTAAATAGCAGGTACAGGTAAAGACTGAGTTCTCTAGATGCCATCTTGAGCCACTTCCCTTTTAGCCTTGCCCATCAGATAGACCCCAGGTGTCCCTAGTCCCAGCACACATTCTTTCCAGGTGGCATCCTAGATACTAGGAAGAAGAGAGACTAATGTTTGGGGGGCTGGATGGAGGAAAAGGACAGCACCTATGAAGTGTTCAAGAAGAAGAAGAAGAGGAAGAAGAGGAAGAAGAAGAAGAAGAAGAAGAAGAAGAAGAAGAAGAAGAAGAAGAAGAAGAAGAAGAAGAAGAAGAAGAAGAAGAAGAAGCAGAAGCAGAAGCAGGAGGAGGAGGAGGAGGAGGAGGAGGAGGAGGAGGAGGAGGCGGCAGAAAAGTACTTCCAGTTTCCATCCCAGCAAATAAGAAACTTGGAAGTCGCCACACTATTCTAACAAAAAGTAAAAAGCTGGGCCAGGCATGCTGGCTCACTCCTGTAATCTCAGTACTTTGGGAGGCCAGGGCAAGCAGATCACTTGAGCTCAGGAGTTTGAGACCATTCTGGGCAACATGGTAAATCCCCGTCTCTACAAAAAACACAAAAATTCCTCAGACATGATGGTGCACGCCAGTGGTCCCAGCTACTCCCAAGGCTGAGGTGGGAGGATTGCTTAAGCCTGGGAGGTAGAAGTGGCAGTGAGCCGAGATCATGCCACTGTACTCCGGCCTGGGTGATAGAGCCAGACTCTGTCTCAAATAAATAAATAAATAAATAAAGTCTGAACAAACTGAAAAAGCAACAGCTCTTCTTAGATCCATAAGAGAAGAGAAGTTACAGGGCAAACCACTGCTCCCAAGTTGAAGGGACAGGCAGGTGAATACAGAGAATCACAACAGACCAGAGCAGAAACTGTGGGAACCAGGGCCAGGGTAGGAAAACTTACACTATAATTGACTAATGCTGGAGGCTCAGTGTGGATAACTCTAAGAGTGAAAACCTCTAAGACTGAGTCATGGGGATGGGAGAGTCCTACACTTTTGTGAGTTTTACCCCCAAGAGCTTGACCTGGTGCTCACATTGAATATTGGAGAAAAATCCCTCATGTTTCCAGCACAGGGAGGGGGAAAGGAGCCATTTTGGAATACATAAAAACATTCTGTTCTTCTTAACAAGGTCTGCCCTCAAGAGAAACTATTTTACCAGTGCCTAAACTACTGGGGTTTTATCAGTGCCTAACTGACCTGGAGGAAGGGAAATACCCAACTGGATCCCACTCAAATCTTCCTGTCCCACCCACAGGAGAGAAGGGGGTACCGAGAAGCAGGTGTGAAGTTCACAGTCCAGAGGCATAGGCTCCCTTAGAGATTGAGACGAAACCATAGGACTGTGGAACACTTTCCAATTGCCTGATGCCTTACCACCACATCACCAAAGGCCCATTTACAACAGTTCCTTTTACCCAAGACACCATGCCAGGCTTTGAAGAAAAAGTTACAAGGCATACTAAAAGACAAAACAACAAATTCCAAACAGACAGAGCAAACATTAAAGCCAGATTCAGGTATGACATGGATGTTGAAATGATCAGACCAGGAATGTAAAACAGCTATGACCAGAATGCTAAGGGCTCTAATGGATAAAGTAAGCAGCATGCAAGAACAGATGGGCAATGTAAGCAGAGAGATGGAAATTCTAAGAACTAAAAAGAAATGCTAGAGATAAAAAACACTGTGACAGAAAAAAGAACGCCTTCAATGAGCTTATTGGTAGACTGGATATGGCTAAGAAAATAGTCTCTGAGCTTCGGCGTATTTCAATAGAAACCTTCAAAACTGAAAAGAAAACAGAAAAAGGACTGGAATAAATAGAACAGACCATCCAAGAACTGCAAGACAACTACAAACAGTGTAAATGGAAATATAAAAAGGAGAAGAACGAGAGAAAGGAAAAGAAGAAAGATTTGAAAGAATAATGACTGAGAATTTCCCTCAAATTAAGATCAGATACCAAACCACAGATTCCAGAAGCTCCGAGAACACAAAGCAGGATAAATGCCCCCAAAACACACCCAGGCATATCATATTCAAGCTATAGAAAATCAAAGATAAAGAAAATCTTGAAAGAAGCCGGAGGGAAGAAACATCTCACCTACAGAAGAGCAAAGGTAAGAATTATATCTGACTTCTCTTCAGAAACAAAGCAAACAGGAAGAGAATGCACTAAAATACTTAAGGTGTTGAGAGAAAACAACCACCAACCTAGAATTCTGTACCCTGAAAAATTATCCTTCAAACATGAAGAAGTAAAGACTCTCAGAAAAACAAAAATTGAGAAAATTTTTTTTTCCTATACAACTGCCTGGCAAGACATGTTAAAAGAAGTTCTTTAGAAAGAAGAAAAATTATACAAATCAAAAACTGGGATCAACATAAAGAAAGGAAAAGCATCAGAGAAGGAACAAGTGAAGGTGAAACAAAAACCTTTATTTTTCTTATTTGTCTGTTTGTTTGTTTGTTTTTGAAATGGAGTCTCGCTTTGTTGCCCAGGTTGGAGTGCAGTGCTCTGATCTCTGCCTCCTGGGTTCATGCTATTCTCCTACCTCAGCCTCCTGGGTAACTCGGATTACAGGGGCACACCACCGTGCCCAGCTAATTTTTGTATTTTTATTAGAGTTGGGGTTTCACCATGTTGGCCAGGCTGGTTTTGAACTCCTGACCTCAGGTGATCCACCTGCCTCGGCCTCCCAAAGTGCTGTAATTACAGGCATGAGCCACCGTGCCTGGCCTTATTTTTCTCATTCTTAATTGATCTGATAGATATCAGTCTGTTCAAGATGATAGCAGCAATGTATTTAATTGTATATGCTTATGTATAAGTGAAATGAATGACAGCAATGATGCCAAGGATGGAAGGGAGGAATTAAATTATTTTGTTATCTTAGGTTACTTGTACTACCCATAAGCTAT